TGATGATCTGACTGACAGCAGCCAGAGGAGACACTAGCCGGGTTTCCATCCAAAGCTGCGAATTTAACAACACAAAACTGGAATATCGCATAAAACATTTGCGAACAAACAAACAAAATCGTCACTTCCTGATAAACTGGCACTATAAATCACTAAGATAAGCCATTATTCACATCAACCCTTTTTCGCACGAGTCAAAAACCACCTCAAGTGAGCGTAAAAACTTTTTTTGCGAATTAAGGGATTTTTATTCTAAATTTGGCGTTTCCATCACTCGTTTCTCATGCGATACTTCAAAATGCGCATTAAAATAGGGTGATGGAAACATAGCTACTCACACACGCGGGCCGAACCGGAACCCGCTCGAAGTTCATGCTCATGCCGGGAATGATCACGGTCATCTTCCGCGGCCCTTTGAAGCCCAGAACATTGGTCTCCTAAAAACATACACACACACACACACACAATAAGAAGTGGGCAAAACCACTCAGAAACAGAGAGGAACAGAGACACACTGACGTAGCAGACGGCGGCGAGCTCCTGTCGTGTGTTGGTTTCCTCCAGCAGCGCTCCGGGGGTTTTCGAGGGGTTCGTGCCATTATCGTACACAGTAAACTTGGTTCCCATCAGATTAGACCTGCGGTGAACGGTGAACATCATCAACTCATCATCTAATGAATGGCAGAACATCAACTCACACAGACTCCAAAACAAGCTAAATGTGATTGCAGTCGTGGCATTGGGCAGCAAAGGGTTAAAAGGACAAACGTGAAGCTTGTGTTTTTAATACAGCACATTAATTATTCAGTAAAAATTTTTTATTATCTGGGCTACGCACTGTCTAACTCAAGAGTTTTCTACTTTTATATTCTAAAATTCAAAAGGCAGCTATATATTTTCGTGCATAAAGATTAACACTGAAAAAAATCATGTTAGAAATGTGTAAAATTTCATTTAGAAAATATTCAGTACCTATTACATTAAATGACAACATATTTTCTACGTAGCTATATTACTTATATTTTTATTTTAACAAATTTTTTATTATTCATTTAAATACATCTTTCATTATTTATTTTTTATTTAAATATATTTTTTATTATGTATTTTAATATTTTTGTATTACTTTTATTATTTATTCAATTTTTTATCTAATTGTTATTTATTTTAACACAATTTTTAATAGTTATTTTAATACAATTTTGATTATTAATTTATTTGAATAAAATTTTTTAAATTTTATTTTAATACAATTTTTTTATTTATCTATTTCAATTTAATTATATATATTTTTTAAACTTTTTTTTTATGATTTATTTTAATCTAATTTTTATTTTTTTTAATTTAATTTTTAAAATGACATTTATCTATTTAAATAATTTCTGTTTTACTTATTTATTTTTACACACCATACACTGTTTTTCTCCTAACTTTTTCACGGCCCCCCAACACTCCCTTTTATTTAGTGTCATGCTCATGTGTTTCTATTGAAAATGCAGTACTGAAACCACAATTGATGCTTTAAAGAAACGGGATGAGTTGAAATTGTTTTCTGTGGTAACTGACTGGATGTCACTTGACGTGTATTGAACCAGAAACATCCGATCAATCATAAGTTCACAGTGTTAAATTGGATCCGATCATTTGAAGGTCACTTGTGACTGAATCTCCTGAGACGAGACGAGTTAATACCAGTCAAAAAAAACACCAGAGAGGCACCTCAGTTTTCCTGTGAAGCTCTCGGCCTCACGGGACAGATCTGTGGCGTCTACAGAGATCAGATAGTTGGATGTTTTGCTCTTTTTCCTCTTGCGTCCGGCCAATAAGAACACCTAAGAGAGAGAGAGAGAGAGAGAGATGAGCGAGAGAGCACTAAAGTGAGCAGAAGTGATTGTGAAGCATCAGATCAAACCTTCTTGCCGTCTTCTCTCTCCAGGTGCATGAAGTACGTGGGATAGAGGCCACGGTCCATGCCCTTCTTGTCCCGCGAGATGCGACACTTGACCGTGACTCCCCGCGGAGCCGGACGGAGCACAAACTCCTCCAGATTATCCACCTCAACGGAGGAGCCCTCAGCCGACGGAGAACCCAGCGGGAGACACTCCTGACGAGACAGAAGACAAAACACACACATTTAGTCCTCTAACAGACATATCATTCATTATTCTCACAGGGTGCAACATGATTTTCATCTCTGTCTCTGAGAACATGAGGAAAGTTCACAAACTGAATGAAATACTTTCCCGTATCCCAGTTTAATATCCAGAGTTTAATGGACTCTATGTACAAAATGAAATCTTGATGCAGTGTTACACAACAGCATTATTGATATGTTGTTTTTATTATTTAATCTGTTTTTTAATTAATTTTTTTTATTTGATCAATTTAAAAATATTTCTATATTTTTTATTTTCAATATTTTAATTTATTGTAATCAAATTTATAACATTTCTACTTATAATTTAAATGTATTATTTAAACTATTATTTATATTTTATTATTCATTTATTTTCATTCATTTTATTATTTCAATTTTAATATTTTTCCATTATTTATTTTAAGCTAATTTTTATCATATAATTTTATAGTTACGTTTAAAAAAAAAATTATTATTTATTTGTTTTATTTTATTTATTTTTGTATTAAATTGTACTAGTTACATGTTTTAACCTATTTTCCCATTATGTATTTATTTCTTCTTTCTTTCTTTCTTCATTTATTTATAAAGCACATTTTAAAACAACCAAGGGTTGACCAAAGTGCTGTAAGAGAGAGAGAGAGAGAGAGAGATGAGCGAGAGAGCACTAAAGTGAGCAGAAGTGATTGTGAAGCATCAGATCAAACCTTCTTGCCGTCTTCTCTCTCCAGGTGCATGTAATACGTGGGATAGAGGCCGCGGTCCATGCCCTTCTTATCCCGCGAGATGCGGCACTTGACGGTGACTCCCCGCGGAGCCGGACGGAGCACAAACTCCTCCAGATTATCTACCTCAACGGAGGAACCCTCAGCCGACGGAGAACACAGCGGGAGACACTCCTGACGGGACAGAGACACAAAACTCACACATTCAGTGCTCAGATATGAATGAGTGATGAAAATACACCATTAATTATTCTCACAGGGTCTCTGAGAAAATGAGGAAAGTTCACAAACTGAATGAAATACTTTCCCGTATCCCAGTTTAATATCCAGAGTTTAATGGACTCTATGTACAAAATGAAATCTTGATGCAGTGTTACACAACAGCATTATTGATATGTTGTTTTTATTATTTAATCTGTTTTTTAATTAATTTTTTTTATTTGATCAATTTAAAAATATTTCTATATTTTTTATTTTCAATATTTTAATTTATTGTAATCAAATTTATAACATTTCTACTTATAATTTAAATGTATTATTTAAACTATTATTTATATTTTATTATTCATTTATTTTCATTCATTTTATTATTTCAATTTTAATATTTTTCCATTATTTATTTTAAGCTAATTTTTATCATATAATTTTATAGTTACGTTTAAAAAAAAGCTCGGTCACCACGATGTTTCGGTCTGGACCTAGGGACGGATAACATTTTTAAAGGCCCCGATCTAAGTGGTCTCGCTGATGTGTGTGAGTGCAACAACTCAGTGAGGTAGACTGGCGCAAGATTATTTAATATTTTAAATTCAACTCTGAATTTTACAGGCAACCACTGGAGAGAGATGAAGATAGGAGAGATGTGCTGGGATTTACGTGTTCTCGTCAAAAGCCTGGCTGCTGCATTTTGGACCAGTTGTAAACGCTCCATGGATGAGCAGTTAATCCCATAATAAAGTGAATTACAATAGTCTAAACGGGAAATAACAAATGCATGAATTACTTTTTCGAAGTTCCTGGTTGATAACAATGGTTTCACTTTAGCCAGGCGACGAAGATTGAAAAAACACACTTTAACTACTCCATTTATCTGTTTGTCGAGCTTTAGGCCAGAATCAAGCCAAAAACCTACATTTTTTGCACATGGAGTAACCCATTGAGTTAAGGAACCAAAGTTACATTTACAGGCATTAAAAGCGTCACTAGGTCCAAACAGAATTACTTCAGTTTTACCTTCGTTTAGAGTCAAAACATTTTTTGTAAGCCATGACTTAAGTTCCTGAATGCATGCATACAGAGCTCCTAGTGCATTTTTATCATTTGGTTTAAAGGGGAGGTACAGCTGGACATCATCTGCATATAAACGAAAAGAAATTCCATATTTCCATCTTTTTAAAATATTTTTATTACTTATTTTAATCATTTTCATTATTTTTTTAATCTACTTGTATCACTTATCTATTTATTTTAATTGTATTATTTATATTTTAATCTATTTTTTTATATTTATTTATTTTAATATATTTTCCCATTATTTAGTTCTTTATTTTAATCAATTTCATATTTTGTTTTGTTTTTTATTTTTTTTATTGTTTTATTAAAAAAAAAAAAAAAAGGTATTCTTTTTTATTTAAAGCTTCTGAAACTCATTTCTGAAATGTTTATGGTATAATATAATACACTAAAATAATGTTATGTTAACGTTATGTACTATAGTTATATTATATCTAATATACTATATTGTTATGTCATTATTTATGAATTGACAGTTATATGATGTGACAGAAAGAGTTTGCTACAGCACTGAGACTTCAGCAGAAACACACACACACACAGTCAGTCAGTGTGCATCAAACTGTGGCTGTGTGTTTGTGTGGAGGTTGTTGTGTCTGTCTGACCGTGGTTGATTTGGTGCTGGAGGCTGATGCAGGACGAGTGCTCTCTGTGTTCGGCGACAGCGATCGGCTTCGCTCTTCAGCTTCATCGTCATCTTCCTCGCTGGCCTCGTCGTAGTTCATGCTGCCAGACAGTCCTGAGAGAAACAGAGTTTAAAGAGCTGGAGATGAGAAACAACAGCTGCTGCGCCGAGATGAGGACTGACATTTACACGCAATCTCCTGAGACACACCCTCACACACACACACACACTTACCGTCTCTGCAGTAGTGTGTGTGTGTGTGTATGTGTGTGTGTGTGTGTGTCTTACAGCGTCTCTGCAGTAGTATGTGTGTGTGTGTGTGTGTCTGTCTGTCTCTGTCTTACCACGTCTCTGCAGCAGTGTGTGTATGTCAGTTTTGGGCTCCAGCAGTGTGTCGGTGTCGGCGTCTGTCTCCGGCTCTTCTGCAGCGGGCGGCGAGGGCTGCTGCGGTGGACTGACCGACAGAACCTGGATCTTACTGCCCAGATCTGGAGCTTCTGAACCCAGCAGAGCCGCGGGGCCGTCGATGCCTGACGGACAAACACACACACATTAAATCATTCACACACAAAACACACATACAGCCACAGAGTGACATACTGAATGCAAATCAAAGCACAATATTCAATTCTAGATCTATTCAGCAGGCGGAGAGATCATTTTTGTTTGATAATGGAAACTAAAAAAGTCTGACTGCAAATGAACGAAAAACCTTCTCAAAGAGAGTGAAGGACGAACAGCAGATATGAGTCCTGAGAAACAGATAAGAGAAGGCAAAACTATTACACAAACCACACTGAAGCAAAACAGTGGGATGAATAATAAAGAGCAAAGTGAGGAGTGTCATGATTTAAAGGCATAGTTCGCCTAAAAATAAAAAAAATGCTGTTAATTTACTCACCTTCATGCCATCCAAGATGTAGCTGACTTTCTTTCTTCTTCAGTAGAACAGTAAAGAAGATTTTTAGCATAAACCGTGCTCCTTGGTGATTCATACAATGCAAGTCAATGGGTACCGCCACTTTGAGAGTCAAAAAAAGCAAATACAGGCAACACCAAATGAATCCCTGTGGCTCCTGATGATATATTGAGGTCTGTGCAAGAAACTGAACATCATTTACAACATTATTACCAGTAATCCAGAGCCTCAGGGCAAATGGGAAGTATGATTCTTTTCCGTGAACTGCTTGTTTCAGACAGTTCGTTTCAATGAACTGGTTCAATTCACTAGTTTGATTACATGATCATGCAATGATGTCACATATATGCAATTATATTATTAAAGCACCCAAATATGATGTGAATAGTGCATGTTTTGCATGTCTAAGGCATATAAAGTGAATAAACTAGTTTTCATCAGCTCACCTTTTTACATAAACAATGTTAAACCATAAAAATGTTCATTTCACTGGAGCGCTGAATGAGTTCATTCATCATAGGATCAGATATGCCGCTATTTTGGCTCATTTCGAGTCGGAGTGACTGTCAGGCGTCTGAAAATGAGTTTTAATTGAGTAATTTGTACATCTGTGCTGCTCGCGCTGTGAACTGATTCGAACGATTCTGATTTGATGAACTGCTTCAACTAGTTCACTAAAAAGAATTGGTTTAAAAGAATGATTCGTTTGTGAACCGGACATCACTCAGGAGGCTCTGGATTACAGGTAATAATAATGTTGTAAATAATGTTCAGGGTTTTTTTTGCACAGACCGTTCGTTTAGACCTCAATATACCATCAGGAGCCACAAGTATAAATTTTGTGTTGCTTTTTTTGACTCTCAAAGTGCCGGTAGCCATTGACTTGCATTTTATGAATCGCCAAAGACCAGGGTATCAGCTAAAAATCTTCTTTACTGTTCTACTGAAGAAAAAAATTCACCTACATCTCGAGTGGTCTGAGGGCGAGTAAATTAACAGCAAATTAGCCCTGGGCGATATGGCAAAAAATTAAAATCTAGATTTTTTTCAAAACGTTTGACCGATTCCCGATTTTTTAACTAGTCAACTTGAAAATGTAATTACAACATGATTCAAGTTACTTTTTCTTTATTAACCCTCTAGCTACAGAAAATTATATTCCAAGTGCAGCACACATGAAGTAAATGTTAAACAAATCACTTGTTAAATATCTTTCCAGAAAAGATGCATGAACTACAACTACATCTTGTACAAACTTGTCTTATAGGTATGTTCAGAAATAATTTGAGAAAAAATTATTTAAATAATTTGAAAAAAATCTCAAAAGTCAAGGTAATTCAAATTCAAAATGACTGAAGGTATAACACCAGTAGACTATTATTAACTATAAATGTTCTGTAAAAACAATGAACAGCAGCTGTCAGCCTGTCACCATGATGCAAACATGAAATATCAGACACTAGTAGTTCTTCACAGGTTTTTTTTAATTCGATTGCGCTGCTTTTCCATTGTTTTTTCTATGTAAACATGGGTGTGTTTGACTGTTGCGCTCGTGTAATGCATGATACATGTCTGAATGACATTTAATAATTCTGATTTGAATTCTCTCTGATTTTAACTCTCTATTCTAATTCTATTCTTTAAAAAAAAAACACTTGTCCCTTTTAGACTTGTACTCTATTCATTTGCTGCTTGTTTTCTTTAAAAAAAAAAAAAACTAACACTTGCTTTCTAATCTTTTTGTATTCTATCTGTTTTCTTTTCATTTATTATACAATTAACAAAAGCAAAAAAGACCTCTAACACTAGTTTGCTCTATTCTATCTGTTTTCTTTTTATGTATTATATTATTTTAAAAACCCTTACTACGTGTACTGCGTTAAGCTAACTGAGACATGTTATAGCACTTGTATATCATTGCTCTTTTGTTGGTTTTGATTGCTTCCATTGTCCTCATTTGTAAGTCGCTTTGGATAAAACCATCTGCTAAATGACTAAATGTAAATGTAATGATACGGCATTCTAAAAACGCGGCGCTCAAGTTGAAAGAAGTTCACTCCCAACTTCTTGCATGTTTTTTCTAGTCCACAAAAGCGAATTCTGTGTGATATGAGCGCGTCACACGTGAGCAGTTAATCACGAGTGCCGACATGCGGTTGGATCGATCTTTTCTCTTTACGGTCATCATTGGCATATTGTCAAAGTGTCTAATTCTAACGTTTGGTAATATTTCTATTCAAAATCCTGATTCCTCGATTTCTAAGAAACAAAATCGTGGCAAAACATTAAATTCGAATGAATCGATAAAATCTTCATTTTTGGGTGAACTGTCCCTTTAAAGCCTCACCATCCAGGATGATGTCACTGGCAGTGCTGAGGTGCGGCTCCACGAGCGGTGCTTGTTCTTCACTGCGGCGGGGCCGCGAGCGCCGCGGACGTCCCTCTGAGTTCGGCTGGACCATCAGCGGCTCCTGACGCTTCCGCCGCTGCTTCTGCTCCAGCAGCGCCCTCTGCAGACACAATAACACCATTAACACACTCAGATCATTCATTATTCATCCTTTACTAGATGCATACAGTGCATTTAATAGAGGGTCAAACCATTAGAGCAAGTATAAAACGAGGGTGTTGTCTTGTTAATGTGGCTTTTTAGAGAATATGCAATCAGATCATGAGACACTTGGAGCGACTTACTATACAGGAATCATCATTCTGCTGTTGTGTTTCTTTTCCAGTGTTCTTATTGTTAACTAAAACTACTAAAAATCATTTTCAGTAATTTAAATAAAGATGAAATTAAAAATATATATAGAAATGTTACAAGAAAAACTTCAACTTTAAAAAATGAATAGGAACTTTTTATTCCAGTGTTACTATTGTTAACTAATGTTTTGGTAATTGAAATAAAATAAAATATATATTATTTAAATATATAATATATATAAATATTAAATATAAAAACTGAAATGTTGTTTCTATTCCAGTATTGTTATTCTAAACTATTAAAAATGATTTGTCGTTCATTGAAATGAAGCTGAAAAAAAATTTAAATGTTACATAAAAATTAAACCTATAAAAACATGAACATAAACTTAAAATGTTGCTTCTATTCAGTGTTTTTATTGTCAACTAAAACTATTAAAAAAGGTTTCTGGAAAATAAAAGAAAGTATAAAATAAAATAAACCTGTAAAACTTAAAATGTTGTTTCTATTCCAGTATTGTTATTGTTAGCTAAAACTACAAAAAATTATTTATGGTAGTTGAAATGAAGCTGAAATAAAATAAAATATAAATATTACATAGAAAACTTAAACTTATAAAACTTGAATGAAAACTAGAAATAATGTTCTGGCAACTAACTGATATAAAGTTCAAGTTGAAGTATAAAATTACTAAAACTGAGAGCAAAATTAACCAAAGCTAAATGCAACAAAAAAAAATGGTAACATTAAAATGAAAACTGGCAATATAAAAAAAGCTGATTTAAAATATTAATAAATACTAGTACATTAATAGCACTAAAATAACACTATTCTATTCTGATATGTAAGTATTTTAAGCTACAACATTTTGTCCACTACATCATTCCCATACTTCCGTTTCCTGTTATTTCATAGTTTTGATGATTATAAAATGTGAAAAACAGTCACACGAAAGAGTAAGTAGGAGTATCCAAACATGTGACAGCTATTGTGATACAAAGATAATCTACTAGAGCTGAGATAGAAACAGCGAGAGCTCTGTACGGCACAGGAAGTGAACGATAACAGTCAAGGATCAAGAGGATGAGCAGAAAACACACACAATCCTTCCCAGAAACAAAACACTCACAGAAAGATGAAGAAGTTGACGCATGCTCGCTAGAATCATCCTTACAACAGCAGAACCGAACAGTGTGTGTGTGTGTGTGTGTGTGTGTGTGTGTGTGTGAGAGAAAGAGAGAGAGAGAGAGAAGTGGGATGAAATGACAGTAGATGACAGACAGGAAGAGAAATGAGGGCTGCTGACACAATGAGAGTTTCACTTAAAGTCAGACGATGCTGTTCAGCTCACGCTGAGGGGCGGAAACACTGGAAACAATCAATTGCTTCACAATGGAAAGTAACATCCATACTGTGTATTATTGTGTGCTATTGTGTATTATTGTTTTATTGTGTTTTGATGTGTTTTATAATGTTTTGATACGTGTTATTGTGTATTATTTTCTTTTATTGTGTTTTTTGATGTGTTTCATAATGCTTTGATGTGCTACCAAGTATTATTATGTTTTGATACGCGTTATTGTGTTTTATTTTGTTTTATTGTGTTTTTTGTTTTTTGATGTCTTTCATAATGCTTTGATGTGCTACCAAGTATTATTTTGTTTTGATACGTGTTATTGTGTATTATTTTGTTTTATTGTGTTTTTTGATGTGTTATATAATTCTTTGATGTTTTACCGTGTATTATTTTGTTTTGATACGTGTTATTGTGTATTATTTTGTTTTGATATGTGTTATTGTGTATTATTTTGTTTTATTGTGTTTTTTGCTTTTTGATGTGTTTTATAATGCTTTGATGTGCTACCAAGTATTATTATGTTTTGATACGTGTTATTGTGTTTTATTGTGGTTTGATGTGGGTTTTGTGCTTTATTGTGTTTTGACGCATGTTATGTTTTATTGTGTTTTCATGCATATTATTGTGTATTTTTGTTTTGAAATGTATTATTGTGCATTGTATTTTTTGTGGTTTGACCATAGACTGTATAAAAACATGGACGTAGTGTCCGTGACGTCACCCGTAGGTTTCCGAAGAGCGTTTTTGAAGCTCAAAGTGGGCGGAGCTGGCCGTTGCCATCTTGGCAGAGCGTAACCGCGCGCCCCTCCCGGA